AAACTTAGTACAAAGATGCTCTAGGACAATGTACAAACCTAATTAGTTTGGGGTAAAACTCTGTTCATATTATTTCCCCAATTAGCATAATAATTCATAATTTTTTGGTTCTAATCACATTTCAATTAAACTTGGTACATAGAGTTTTTGTTACATTGCGCAGACCTCATTAGTTTTACAATCAAATCTGTTAATGTTAATTTTCTGATTTGCATAATTAGTTTTCAGCTAAGTAATTTCAAATTATATTTAATGTGTCTCCAATACTCTCAGCACATGGGAGTTCTTTCTAAGCTTTCTTTGATTATATTTGATTTCACACATCGCAGTGAATGAAAAATGTTCTTCACACTGATATTTTCGAAAGTTTGATGGTCGATTGCCATTTTACAAATATACCTGATTATACAAATATACTGGCATCAACATGAATACTAATAAAGTAATGTGTTGTCTCTTTCAGTTCCAGTAAAACTGTAGCTTTCATAAAGGAGTGCTGTACACATGCATTAACAAATTCGTAAGTTTCAATTTATGTAAATAATTTATTAAATTATGTAAATGACGATATACTTAGATAATGTCTCTTTACCAGTATTGCTAGTTTACATACCAATGCATATATTTACATATCAATGCAATATTTATCACTATTGTGAGTAATGCATCTCTAGCTACAGTTCAAAAATATGCTGTGATTAGGTTTTTCAATTTGACCCTCGTCTGTCTGTGCTTCTTAAAAAAAGAAGTCACATTGAAGCACAAATGCATATTACTCGATTTTAGAATTTCAATAAAATTTAACTAATTAAAACAAAATGCATCATCTAAATTGCATTGTGTGTTTGAGGTCATGTCGTCATAAAATTGTAATTACAACTATAAGGTATATATAAAACCTTTATGGACTGGATACAGGTTTTGCTGCCCTTGGTCGTATAACTTTTGCGGCTTTAGGTTGTGCACTGCCCAAGCCTGCAAGAGCGCATATGTGACCTCAATAATATGCATAACTGTAATATTGTAAGTACTGTAGCAGATAGGGACATGCAACTGGTGCTATAATTTTTAGTGTGTGACAAGATATATGACCAAAATATCAAGTCAACATGGTTGTTATTTTATTAAATATTTATAATTGTTAAACCATAGTTGCTTGGAACACACAAATCATTGCTTTATTAGAAGCACATATGCCTGCTGTAAAAATAAAGAACAAAGACAAGTCTATGGTTAAAATAAGACATATTTCAATAATTTTGCATGCATTAAACATAATGCTTTATGTATAATGTAGATGTGCTTCTGATATATTAAATACAGTATTCCTTAGTTATTTCTAAGCTTTCTTTCTGCAATTTGGTTAAATATCACTTTGGTGTGATGTTCATACAAATTACCAAATATGTTGTTTGTTTTGGGGTGAGACCATTCTCGTATTTCCCAGAGTACATCAATTGCTGACTAATCTGTGTTCCAAGCCATACGTTCGGCCCCCTGCATTGATACATTAGATTTGCCATTTATATGTTCCATTATTGCAAAACGAAACATGAAATGTAAATAGTCATCAGTGGTTGTCGCATGATAAAAGTAAATTATGTCAACACATTTCTACTGATCCTACCGTATAGTCTTTTCATCATATGTAGATTTATACTCTTCATATTTTCAGAGGAGCCCTGCACAGAGAGAGGCGGAAGTTCCTGAAAACTGCATTAAAAGAGCTGTCCTGTATATTAACAGACCAGCCAGGGTTACTCGGACCCAAGGTTAGAATAAAACGTCACAATTCCTGATTCCAGAATTATCAACAGATGTGATGTAATTCTAATTGTGTATGCATAACCTACCAAGCAACAGACGAGGGTAGGACAAAAATATGAAAAAAACAGCAAAAAACAATATACATGCAACCCCGGAAGAGGTCAGCGGCATATTTAAAACATTTTTTTAAATAGTTGAGTGAGTGAGTGTGGGTACAAGATAATTTGCTTGTTCGTTATTCTTGCTTTATAGGCAGAATAGTGTGCAGATCTTCAGAGACTGATCCGAGTTAGTTGAAATGAAAATCACAATTATTAGGGGGAACTGTTTATAATGCAAGTTGAAGACACAGATGATTGTGTATTGCAACTCTGTGCATTTGGAACGTTCAAAATCTCTCCTACATTCCGGTTTGTTGACCTTAGATCATGCAATATGCGCAAGTGCACAAACTATATATGTGCAAACACTATCAATTCGAGGGTCAGGAATTATCATGTTACATTAGGTTCCATATGGGTCACTATGACTGTCTTCAAAAAACATTATGCTACAATTTTATGTTTTTGGTTTTTTTTACTCGTGAAGGTGCTATTATCATCACTCAAATTATTACTATCATTATTTACACTAGTATCATTTATACTATTATCATTTATACTATTATTATTTATATTATTATTTTGCAGATACTCTATGTTTTCATGGCTTTGTCATTTGCTCGTGATGAAGTATATTGGTTAGTTAGACATTTTGAAGCGCCACAACCGAAAGCTCGAGTCAAACCAAATGCTGATGACTTTGAAGACAGACAATTACCAGAATTGCTATTCCACATGGAGGAATTACGAGGTAAGCCAGGCGTCAAGCATGGATGCCAGGACATAGTAAAAATGCATTTAATATTTCACTTGGTAAATTTTCCATCAAATAAAGCAAATAAACCAAAAAAAGCAATAAAAAAAAAAACATGTTTCAATGGCAATACTGACTTGTGATTTCTCCATAGCAATACAAGTAAGCTTTTAAAATACTTTTAATTGAAAAATTGTCAAAAAACAGTTTGTTTATTTAAGCTTCTTTTTATCAGACTTTTAAATAGCAGGGCAGGGAATAATTTGGGCCAAAAAGAAACTTTCATCAAATTATACGATTTTCAATTAATTCAATCAAATGTTACTGAGGGTTTTACTGATATTACTCATTTTAAAATTACATAAAATTCCAATTCACTACAATCTTGTTGTATTTTGTACTTCCTCTCTAACTTATTGGTTCAGTTTGTGTTATACTGTACTCACCAAAGCTTGTGTTGAGTCTGTGCGCACATTGCTTTCATGGAAGGACAAAATAACATATCACATCTTTAGTTGTAGCCAGTTGCACTGTGTGGAAAATATGAATTTTATATGACTCTTGTTATTGTCTTAGCAATCAATTTGTGTTGATAAAAAATTGGCGTCGTTGTATAGAAATTGGAAAGATGAAAACTAACTTACAAATTATATTTCTGTCATTGAGAAAGTTTGTGATATGTAATATTTCTGACCTTATTTGGAAACAAATTCCAAAAATTGTAAATGAACATGTATAAACTGTGCCACTAGAGGGTGCTGTTCTTTTATGTGCTGCCATATTACAATTGTTACAAAATAGCAGATTTTAGATGATTCAACATAATTTAACTCTATTTTTAGCATTAGTGAGGAAGTACAATCAAGTATTACAGCGATATTACATCCAGTATCTAGCAGGTTTTGATGCTATTGTGCTCAACAACATTGTACAGGTAGGTGTCTGATGATGTCATCTTTGATCAGCCTCGTTTTCATCCTTAATCCACATTGGTCCATCATGATAATCTTGTTGTTCTCTTTATGTTATATTCTTTAATAAATATGCTTAACGTAGAAGCCTAGACATAATTTTTGACAAAATTGGTCATAAATCGCATGACAATGTTCATTAGTTTATTATGTACAATCATGAAGCTAATGTCTTATGGTACAATGAAATAGCATTATTTTGTGTGTTACAGTTATGCTTTTTAAGAAACGTGTCCTAATATTTCTTGAAATTGCTATTTTTAGAACAATTCCATAGAACACAATGTTAAAGAAAAAATTTGTTTTCACACTTTTTAAAACCCAGATTTTTTGAATAATTCAGAACCACAAAAAGTACTCCATCATTAACAATATATGATTTTTTCAGCCTATGTCACCAGGCTAGATTGCGAGATATTGCATAATATTTCTGGCATGTGGTAAAAGTGTTATTATACTGTAAAGGGGTTAATTATTCACTGGGTTTTAATTTAGCTTATTTCGCTGACTGGAAAAATGCGCTAAATTAAAACACAGTGAACATGTAAAATTTAGCATAGAACACATTATCTAAATGACGAAACCGTGAATTTAAAACCCACTGAATATGCCTGAAATGGTAAATCAGTGAAATTTAAACCCAGTGAAAATTAGGCATTTTACAGTAGTATCAAAATGGCGACTTTCCACTGAAATACAACCATCAATTTCTCGAAATAAAGGCTGGCGACACCCAACTTTTTTTAGGTCAATATCCTTATACAAATGTATTGCCTTGGAGTACAATTTATTGCAAAATAAATGAATTCTGGGTTTTTTAATTTATGAGTACCGTTAAAGTCCTAATATAAACCGCATACGTAATAGTAACCGCACCCCCAATTCCGGCTTCAGGGTTGAAGAGTTCTTAACAAAAATTGAAAACATGAAAAGTACCTATTACTAACCGCACCCCCAATTCAACAAGACCGTGACTGACTTCATTGTTTCAACCAGCTGGTCCAAAACGGCATTGTTCCTAAACCTATTCTTTGTTTCGACAACGTGCCTAAAAATATTTACACCTATTTATTGTTCACCGGTGATAGGATGTCAGACACGCAATGAAACTGCTTTTGTTCTGGCGGCAACCCCCGGTGGCAACCTCTGTCAATACTCTTTCTGAATACGTCTGTGTTTCGTAAGTTTTCGACAATGAGCTGTTATCACC